ACCACAGTGATTCTCGGGCTTCCATAAACAGCATCTCCATTCATGTACCATCAGGGAGAGAGGCATTACTTCTTGGATGCTAGAAAATGTCCCTGGGCATGCCACAGATAAGAACTTGAATTTAGCTTGACCACTTAAAATGTGTAACTTCAAGAGAAAACCAAAAATCCAGACTCTTAAATACAGCAAACAAGTGATTGCCAGAGAGTAAGTGGGTGGATAGGGGGGTGGATGCAATAGATAAAGGGGACTAAGAGTACGCTTAGTGTGAAGAGCACTGAGTAATGTGTAGAAGTGTTGAATCACCTGAAACTAATATTACACTGTATGTTAACTAACTGGAATTTAAATAAAAGCCAAAACCAAAAAGAAAAGTTGAATCACTGCAAGTACAGCTGAAACTAATATAACACTGTATATTACTTGTACTTCAATAAAAAATAAATAACACAAAAGTTTGTGACCGAGACAAGTTCCCTAACTCTCTGTGCCTCAGTTTCCCCATTTGTAATATAAGGATCATGATATCTCTTTCACTGAGTTATTATGAGCAGTGAGAGAGAAGACACATTGAAAAGCCTTAGGATGTGGCGTGGCACATAGAAAGGACTCGATAAAATTCATTTCATTATTTCTCCAGGGAATATTTATATATCATCAACCATGTGCCAGGCACTAGTGTAGGCCCTGAAGTCACAGCAATGAGCAAAAGAGAGAAAATCTCCGCCTGCATGGAGCTTATAGGCAGCTTAACATTTTAGCAAAGTTAATGATTCTAGTTATTATTATAATTCAACATTTTTACTCTTGATTGCAAAATAAGTACCAGCTCATCAGAAACCAGAAACTAGAATGACAAGATAAAGTTTCACTAATGAACTTGAACTTTAGAGAGAGCTGAAGCATTAGCTTCAGTAATTACTGCTCTCCTGCTAGCTCCCCAGAAGAGCCTTTCCTTCATCTACACTTGCACAGAGACAGAAGGAGAGGTGCCAGGGGAGACGCCTGGCAGTGGGTCCATGGGTCTTAGGAAGGTGAAAAAAGGAGCAAACACCAAGATTTAGCACTTCCAGGTGTCTTAGCAAAGAGAGGGAGAACACACTCACCAATCTAAGGGAATTTTAGAAGCGTAAGAGCAGGTATAATTTTTAAATAGACTAGAGAAGTAAATGAGAAGGGCACTTGGGCAGAAAGAGCAAGTAGAGCAGCTCCAGCTTCTGGAAAAACTGGGTGGGCCCGGGTGGGACTGAATCTGAGATTGAATGAAGAGTAACACTGAAGTAACACTGCCTATGGGCATGAGCTGCAAAATTTACCTGAGCAAATGAGGCTGAAAAAGTCACGTGCCTTTTCTTAATGTCTTCATCTGAAAAGTGGGTTCATCAATTCCAGCCTCATCCAGCAGGTTAGACTCTCAAGTCCTTCTAAGAGAATATTCCCACCACTGGGGATGAGAGGCTGCTAGCACAGCCTAGCTGTCGATGCTCAGCTTCCTGTGGGACTCTCTGAGATGCCCAGATGAGCACAGCCTCTTCGTGTGTGTGAGGCGATATGTCAAAACTAAGTGGTAGGGATATCAATAGGCCGCCTTTTGAAGAAAGACAGACACACAGATAGTCAGGGCAGAGGAATTTCCCCTATCAGATATCAAAATTTAAAGATGTAGAGAAAACGTCAGTGCATTGCTATAGGAATAAACAACAACAACAAAAATGACTAGTGGAAAAGAATAAGGAACCCAGAAAGAGACACTCTTATATGTGAAATGTGAAAAATAATGAGGTGGCATGGATAAAAACAAACCATAATAAATGATGCTGGAACTATTAGTTGTCATTAATTTAGAAACCAGAATCGGTTCCCTACACTTTACCATGCCCACAAATCAACTCCAGATAATCTAAAGACTTAAATTGGAAAGGTAAGACTTTAAAACTGTTAAGAGATAAAACAGTTCATACCTTTACGATTTTGGGAATCATAATCAAAATGTTCCCACATCAAACACTATATAAATAAATATTTGATAAATTCAAGTATTTTTAAGAATTTCTGACCATTAGTAGATGTGATAAAAAGAGGAAGCTAAATTAGAAAAAGATACTTGCAACTCCCAAAATAGAGAGTTAGAATCACAATAATAAAAAAACTTCCATAAATTAATTTGGGAAAGACTAGTAAACCAATGGAAAAATAGGCAAAGACAGAATACATATTTCTCAGAACAGAATGTTCACTAAACAATTGAACTGAATAGATAGATATGGATACATATATCTGTTCATTGAATAACCTCATTAGTAAATAGAGAAGTGAAAATAAAATCATAATAAGAGACCATTTCATATCTATCCAACTGGTAAAAAATAACAATGTTATATATTGGTGAAGACAACTCCTGTGTACGGCTGGTGAGCACAGTGGATATACAGCCACTATGAGAGTAACCTAGTGAAGGTAAAGATGAACTTAGCTCTTATTGACAGTATTTCAGCAAAATCTAGCACATCGTCGAGTATAAGATGTACCATTATTTTATGTATCACCATGAAAGAAAAAGCTTCTAATTATGTTCTAAGATGCCATGAATTTTAAGACACATTCTGATTTCAGATATATTAAGATGTAAAAAATATATATCTTAGAATGAATGACATATGGTGTGTACATAAAAGAAACCTGCTTGTTGACACCAGGATTTACAAAAGACTGTCCACAGCATCATTGCTCTTAAGGACAAAAACCTGAAAACAACCACCATGTACTTTGATAGGAGAACTTACAAATAGTGAAATATTCAACAATCCAGCAGTGAATATAAATAAATGACAGCTGCACACCTGAACATGGGTGACAAAAAGCAAGTGAAAATAAGAGAAGAAACTAATGAAACAACAGAAAAAAATGAAAGAAAAATGAGCAAAACCAAAACTGGGGTTTTCAAGGGAAAAATATCAACAAAATCAATCAAGAAAAACATTAAAAACACATACAAGTAGCCATTGCCAGGAATGGAACAGGTGTTAAGACTATAGGCGAGAAAAGGATCATGAATATGTTTTATGGGAATAAATTCAACAACATAGAAAAGATGTACAAATCGCTTTTAAAAAATGCAACTTACCAAAACTGACACACGATAAAACAGAAAATCTTAAGAGTCCTACAGCTATTACAGGAAGTCGTCATTATTAAAAAACCTTTTTACAAAGAAAATTCCAGGCACAGATGGCTTCCCTGGAAACAAGGAAGAGGATGAGATGGAAGAAAACCAAACCTTAGCTCGGGCAGCCTGCAGGCATATATGGGAAACATGAACGTCAAGAAAAAAGATAATGCCAATACCATAAGACTCTTGGGAAATTAGAGGCGACCAGCACAACCTACCACAGACACAGCAAGGCCTGATAAAGACATTACAACACACAGAGAGAGGAGGGATGAAAATCACAAATCAGTGTCCCTCATGAACACGGACCAGTGATTCTCAGCGGGGGGAACTGCCTCCTGAGGGATATTGGGCACTATCTGGAGACATTTCTGGTTGTCACCACTGGGGAAGCAGGTGCTACTAGTGACTGCAGATGTTCCCTTCAAAGAAGTGACAGAGCCGGGCTCCGAGGCCCCTCCCAGTGGCTGGCATCACAACTACATCTTTGTCCCAGTCCTCAGACCATGCCTTCGTCCCAGAAACTCTCAGACCCTGAGCCTGGGGCCTTTTACATCCAAGTCGGGTCATCCCAGGTCAGCCCCCAATAAGTGGGGTCAGGACTTGTATGCAGAGTGAGCACAAAGCAAGTATTCTTTCTTTATAATTAAAATTTAAAAATAAATTTAAAAATATATATATAATTAAATAATAAAATAAGATAAATAAAATAAAATAAAATAAAATAAAATAAAATAAAATAAAATAAAGCTAGCCTGTATTGCTAAACCCCACTCCTACAAACCCAGCACCCAATGGTGCAATTCTGGAGTAAGTCCCTTTCAACTCAGGGCAAATCTGTCTTATCATTTAAGGCCAAGCTCGAACTATCTCCCACTGGAAGTTTTTGCCCCCAGAGAAAACAATCCAGATGCTCTTCTGGGTTCCCAGGGGCCCCTCTCCACAGTGCCCTATAGCGGTCAGCAGGTGCAGTCCCGGATGGATGGCCCTCCCAGGGGCGAGGGGGCCTCTACATCCCCACTGCCGGGTCTGCTGCTTGGGGACATAAAGCCACGAGGAATGAGCTTGGACACCGGAGGACCTGACAACAACTTTAACTTCGACGAAGTGAGCCCCTCACAGCCCCTTCCCCGTCTCTGGTTTTACGGCATCGCTTCCTGCATGGAGAGCCCTTGGCACAAGGCAAAATCTAAGGAATGGCAGCTGCCACTTCGTGTAAGAGGGAGTTAAAAGTTTGCTCAACTGGGCAGAATTACAAGTGCTGCTTTCTTCGGGGGGTGGGGGGGTAAACCAGTGTGTCCACAGGGGACCTTTCCTGAGAGGCCAGGATCCCCATAAGAGCTGGGACCAGATTGGACCAGAACCCCAAGAGTGCGTCTGCATATAAATAAGAGGGAGGAAGGGGGGTCTGGGGGCTCAGTTGGTTGAGCTCCTGACTTCAGCTCAGGTCATATCTAACGGTTCATGAGTTCAAGCCCTGCACTGGGCTCTGTGCTGTCAGCCTGTGAGCACAGAGCTGGCTTTTGATCCTCTGTCCCCCTCTCTCTCTCTGCCCCACCCCCACTCACACTCCGTCTCTCAAAAGAAAAGAAAACATTTTTTAAAAAGTAAAAAGAAGAGAGAGGAAGACATGAAATGATTCTTTGTGAGCGGGTGGCCTCTGCTAGTTCCCCCTCCCCACACCCTTACCCAGAGCCATGGCTGCCCCATCCCGCTGAGGGGTTTCCTTCCTGCCCCCACGAGACCCGCATCCCCGGAGAAGACCTGTGCATTGCACCCCAGGGTACAAGTCCACCAAGCCCCCTTCTGCCCAAGGGACTCCCAGGTCTACCTGCTTGTGCAAGTCCACTTCTTTTTGGTACCTGATCACCTGGGTTTCCAATGCAGGCTCCCTTCAGTGCCCAAATGACCTCTCTGGTTTTGTCGCCAGAGAATTTCCCTGTCCTTGCATTTTCTTCGGCGTCACATTTGCCATTCCCCACCGCGCCTGCTCTTAACAGTTGTCACGAGGCGCGGTCCCCACGACTCCCCCAGGCCTTTGCATCTGGCTGAACTGTCCTCCCCAGCAGGGGCCACTGCAGTGTTTGGGACACACAGTCCCTCCTGTCATGTGCCACTGGTGTCATAAACCAAGACCCAAGAGACACATACAGCTCTTTTATGATGTCTCCAGAGGTGGCTTTCCTGCATCCCTCGTCCACTCCCAGGGGAAGAAAAGATGACAAAGCCATGGGATCCATACAACCTTCATTTTTCTACTAAGAAAGATCAAAACCCCTAGAATGAATGCCAGGTCTGTCCCTGTCTTTTTCTCATTCCGCTTCCCTCCTCCCTCAGCAAACGGGGCAGAAATGGGGCATGGCTGAGCTGGCACATCTGGAGACTCTCGGCGGGCTCCCGTCCACCTGGCACACACACCGTGGGAACACAGGGCTGCCTTTCGACACCCAGCGGGGTTTGCATGGGGCCGTTTGCCTCGGTGAGTCTCTGTGGACTCACAGGCGCCCCCATCGGCTCCCTGGGAGCAGAAACTGGCCACCCCCACGTGGCCGAGAAGGAACGTGTGCCCAGGTGGCCTGCTCGCAGCAGCTGAGGTCACGCTCCCACGAAGAGTTGTGTATTTTCATTTTGGACCCAGGGAACCGTTAAAAAGATTTCCAAACCGATCCTACATTCCTAGCAGATTCCTGCTACCTGCCTGCAAAACATGAAGCTGTGCTGAGACCTCTACAAATCCAGTCATGTTGTTTGAAATCCGTGGCTGTAAAGGAAACAGTGAGAAAAATATTTACAATTGAAACTCACGGCAGCAGGGACTGCGATGCTATAGATACATGCATTTTTTTTTTCATTTTTCTTTGATGTGTCTTAGATCTTCCCATTAGAACTAGAAGAGGTGGAAATATGGCCATTTGTTTTTTGCAGGCAACAGAGAAGTGCTCTCCACTATCTGCCGACTCCGTCAGGCCTTTCCCCTCAGAACCTCCGTGTTAGGGAGCAGGGGCCGGGCCACAACGAGCCTTGAAAGCCTTCGTGGGAGGCACAGCTGCCCTTGAACCTCCAGTGCACACCGGCTCGCGCCCACATTAGGCAGGAAGGCTGTAATCCCGGCTAGGGGTTCCTCTTGTCCAAGAACAATCTGAACTGTCACTGCAGGGACCACGATTAGGTGACAGGTGGGGCAGAATCTTGATTCCTACTTTTGTTCCCATTGGTGTGGAATGAAGCCACAGCCCGAAAAGAGCCACCTGGATTACAGGAGATGCCTGGTTAGGAGAGAAGCCCGCCCTTTGCACGTCAAGCATTCTGCAAGGGGCCTCCTCTGTGGTGCTGCCCTGGGAATCAGCGGGCACTGACCTAGGGACCTGGTGTCAGCCTGGGACAAGCAATCCCACCAGGGGACACAGCATCTTCCATCGGTGGATGGGGGCAGGGGGGTTGATGCAACCTTGAACCTGGGAAAGGGACGGCCGGGGTGGTGGTGGTTGGAGGCAGTGGTCAGTAAACGCTCTTCGGCAAACACGTCTAAGCCCGTCTCATTGCACTTGATTCCACCCAAGACCTCAGGAAAGGGTGGTGAAGATTGCTCCCATTTCCTGAGCCCATCCTGCCTGACGTCACGCCAAAGCTTCCCCACCACGTCACACTGGCCTCAAGGAAATAAATTGTTTCCACCTGTGCTCTCTATACGGTGCCCGTCTACCACAGAACGATGCATAAAGCCATATTTGTGTTCTTATAGACACAGATGCCCTTGAATTCTTTGCACGCCCTGCCCGAGTCTGATAAAAATGTCCACCATTCAAAGGCAGCCCTGAGAATCCTGTGGCAAGAAGTCTGGCCAGGTGAGGAAGCCTGGGGTCCTTGATCGCCAGCCCTGTGTTTCCCCTGGAACAACGGCTCCAAAGGGCTGGATTTGGCAAATCAGTCATTGCCCTGCCAAGTCCTCAGGAGCTGGAATAAAAACACCTGACATTCAACAAACAGAGAGACGTAAAAATAAAGAGAAATGTAAGTGGGTTTGGTGCTTATCTTTTTTTCCAACAAAAGATAACAGGTAATTGCTTTTTTATCACTAGCACTTGAAATTTGAAAGTAAAGAAGGAGCGAGGCTCGATATCACACCTAAACTTGGCAGTCCATTGATCCTTAACTTCCACTTCTGCTGAGGACCATAGTCAGGCAACCCAGGTGCGCGTATACAATTCAATAAGAAAAATAACCAAGAAGCAGCAGAGGCAATGTCAGCCATGTCACTGCCAACAGGAGGGCTTTCTGTTTAGATTCTGTTAACTGATTACATATATGCACAGTCGCCCCACCCTTCACTGCCACCACCACCACCCCCAAAGTTCTAAAATGTCATCGATTCTCTAAATCCAGCCTTTACCAAAGAAGAGACCTCTGGACAAGGGGAACGAGATGCTTCATGGCTTCCCCAGGAAAGGGGAAAGCTGTTGCCTAGCAACCCGGCCCCCAAAACGCCCTCCCGTTACCTGGCTCTTGTGAAAACCAAGCATCTCTAACAGATGCAGCTACTGCCCGCAGTTGCCGAAGCAAAGCACTTTGCAGGGCAGCGCCCCTCTCTCCCTTCTCTTCGCCCCAGGGGCTTTCCCATATAGTGACACAGAGGGAGCCAAAAAACCTCATGTCCAAGTTCCCAGGGTTATCTCCCTCTTGAGACTAAGATCCTCAGATCCCTCCCCCACTAAATTCTCCTGCAACTCAGCACAACAGAAATGTACCTTTTTCCCATCTAAAGGGTTCTCTGGATGCTCAAGAAATTGTACGGCCCATCAGAGAATCTGTGGTGTCTTTCATCCGGAGGTCATTCTCCAGGCTTCAACTGGTTATTGGTTATTGAACACTTTTTTGAAATCGAAAAAGACTTCTTGAATGTTGTCATGGGCTCAATTGTGTCTCCCCCCAAATTCATACGTTAAGTCCTAAGGTGAGTAGGTTAGAGTGAGATCGTTAGGGTGGCTCTGACCCAATACGACTGCTGTCCTTATTAAAAGGGGATAGTTTGGACACAGAGATGCACACAGAGAGAGAAGAGCACGTGAAGACAAAGGCAGAGAGCAGGGCGGTGCATGAATGAGCCAAGAAATATCAGGGATGGCCAGCGCCCCACCAGAAGTAGGGACAAGAAGTACAGAACAGACTGTCCATCCATCACCGGCTCAGAAGGACCCAACTTGGCCGATGACACGTTGATTCTGGATGGCAGGGCTCCGGAGCTGGGAAGCAATACACTCCTGCTGTCCAAGCCACTCGATGTGCTGTCCTTCAAATGTCCCCGGAAACCCATACTACCGCTCCCCACATGCCATATGCTGCTACAGATGTCACTCCCCTTCTCATTGAGGCCCCCGGCTCCCCACGTCTGACTCACCACGGTGGGCACCTAATGAAGCCGTGGCTTAGCGAAATGGTGTCAACTTGTCCGACACCCCACAGCTCGCAGGTGCAGGAGCTGGAATTCGCAAGCCAGTCGGACGCCCGGGAGACCATGCTCTTCACCCCCTTGCCATTCTCCCTGTGCTCCTTCTAGACGCGGCTCCCTCCCCGCGCAGACAGGGGCTTCCCCCAGAAGTAACTACCCGCAAGGCTAACTGCTAACCAGGGCAGGGAAGCCCGAAAGGACCAAGGTGCTATGAAATATTTAACATGTTGATGGGAGGCACGTTGCCAGCTGAGCTCAAGCCAGGAGCTGGTCCCTGGCTGGCGGGCAGGACACTTCTGCGGCAGCAAGTTGAGCTCGGAGCAAAGTTAGCTTTGAAGCTGATTAAACGTCTGTGTCTCTGGGGCCACAGGGAGGAAGAGCCCGGAGGGGGCCCTGCAGTCCCAGCGCTGAGCAAGACGGTGCAGAGGGACCTTCCTGCCACAGTGGCGGAGCAAATTTTCTCACATTTGCAACACCCGGCAACACTATTGTAGCTTGGATTCGTGTGCTGAGCAGGGAAAGCACACATTTTGCAAGGAAAGCAAATTTTGGTGAATAGAGGAAAACCCCATAGTAGGGCTCTGTTCCATGACAGAGAGGGGCTAAAATTGCCACAGGCAAGTGATGGTGAATTGGTCTCCCCAACAAGGTCACCATGTTCGGAAAGCTAACCACCTGTGGGGGGGGGGGTGCGTGTGCGTACGTGTGTGTATGTGTGCGCGCGCACACACACACGGAAAGATTCTTTGTTTTTTGTTGAGTCTCTGCAGTAGCATTTCCCCATCAAAGAAACCGCCTCCATCTATGACATTATTTAAAGGGCCAGATCATATAAATAAATGCATTAAATTTTTTTTAATCTTTATTTTTGAGAGACAGAGACAGAGTGCGAGCAGGGGAGGAACAGAAAGAGGAGACCCAGAACCCGAAGTAGGATCCGGCACAGAGCCGGACATGGGGCTCGAACTCACAAACTGCAAGTTCGTGACATGAGCCAAGTTGGACACTTAAGGAACCCACCCAGGAGCCCCTGAATAATTGCATTTAAGTGATTCTTCCAGTCACACAGACCTTCAGCCAACAGAAATAAATTTGTTCCGTGAATATAGCACACCAGAAATGATCAAATATTAAAATTTGATTAAAATGTTTTAATGAAGCGAAAGGGGCACCTCGGTGGCTCAGTCGGTTGAGCATCCAACTTTGGCTTAGGCCATGGTCTCGTGGTTCATGGGTTTGAGCCCCGCGTCGGGCTCTGTGCCAGCAGCTCAGAAACTGGAGCCTGCTTCAGATTCTGTCTTCCTCTCTCTCTCCCCTTCTCCCACTCACACTCTGTTTCTCTCTCTCTCTCAAAAATAAATAAACATTAAAAATATTTTAATGAAGCAAAAGAAAGATAATGCTTATTTTGTGATTTTTATAAAATGGGCAAAATCTCTAAGACCACTATATTTGGAAAAGCTTATAAATTAAATTTTTTCCAGCATGTACTTATTAAATAAGTAATTTTTTTTTAAATAATGAGATTTCTTGTGATAAAATATGAAGTGTCA